AATTGCTTGATCTTTTTCTTTTATTTCATCGTATCTCAAAGCTTCCGTCTGACAAGCTGGTTAAATTGATCAGGTGGAAGATTATGAATTATTATTAATTACCTATATATATATACCTTAAGATTTAAAAACTATCCCTAAACGTTATTGTCGCAATCCTCGAATATTAAGCACGGTTGAACAATTTATTGTTTAGTGATGGATCACTTCAGATTAGAAGGTGACGAACTTGTCGTTGTGAGTTATTTTGCAGCAGATTTATAGGATGCAACATTCATAAGTACGAGGAATATCGTAATTAAAGATATCAGTTTCAAACGGTTCTCTCTTTTTTGCTAAAAGTACACACATGCATATAGCATTTAAAAAGTTTAAATCTACGTTCTTTCAAAATCGAAAGCCGAAGAAAATATTCTTATTTCTTAGTCTTCAATGTAGAATACTAGCAAGCTCATGCAACACTTGGCATATACATACAGCTGTTAAATTTCACATCTTTTGGGCTTCATCAATTATCGAGTGCTTTAAACCACTAAATACTGGAAGTTCGACTGGATTCGTTCCCACGAGAACGAGCTGCCTGCATGGTTAGCTTCCCTGACTTTCCTTACGTATAACGCGAGTACAATCCGGTTTAATTCAGAAAGTCCTTCATGAAAGCATCCTTCCGTTTAGGCAGATAGCCCTAGTGTGAAAGTGAACCTTGCCATATTATTCAAGCAGCATAATCTAAACATCGTCATATTTTTGAAATAGACAGTGTTAGAAATTTTACTACAATAGGTTTTACCTGGAAACCTGTTTTATTTACTATATGTAGGGTATAAAATAACAAGTGTCGCCCAGACGGTAAAATGGTTAGGGGAGCCTATGGCAGTACCTAAGGGCTCGAGTTTGAAACCCGGAGAAGGCATGGATGCTTGTAAATGTATAGTGTCTTTGCGGCATGAGGGCACTCTAAACATATGGCGAGCCGAAAGTGCTCTCGTCTGGTGTGGCGGCGAGAGGAGTGGGACCCCCCGGACCACCCCGTTTTCAAAATTGGAGTAGTAAGTTGAAGTCCAACCTCCATGACGCTCTGGCAACCATTCTTCCACGAAATTACATGGACAAGACAGCAACAAGAACAAATAAAATGTGCTACAATATGTTATTAAAAAGCACATATTATTAGCAACAATTTCTGATCTTCATTTGTGCTATATAAAAAAATACCTTTGGAAATAGTAAAACACCACCACAGGTGTTAAATAAACTAGAATATTTCAGTACCTTTGCTGTGGCATACAGCAGGGTGACAACCTGCTTTTAAGAATGAGAAATAGGCAAAAATCCAATTAATTTGGCAATGATTTTAACTGAATTGGCTAACTGCGTTTCCAGGTGTTTTTTAAAACTGGTTTCTCTTCATCATAAGCAAGACTGGTATGAGGTTTGTCTCGAAACACTGTACAGAAACGGTTTTCTTTGTACGAAGCCTTTTTATCTGGAATTAAATTCAGACTGAGTTTGGTTTTCGCGTACTTTTTAAGTTTAATTTTTTATGCATTTTATTAAATTCCTTGACAAAGTTGTCTATCATAAATTTGTACGTAATATTCAGTATTATAAAAATTAATTATTCTCTTTGAATATCACAAAAATCAAGCTTCTAACTTATTTTAATAGGTATCATAAGGAGTGATTCATAGTTTTCAATCTTGTTACATAAATGTAGGCATATTAAAAATTAAGCATTTATTTTCATAAATAGCGTAAAATTAAGTATAATCATAGAAATAAGCATAAAAATTAAGCAAAGAAAGCATAGCAATTAATTTTTTAAGGTATATTTTTAACTAATAATTAAGATATTCTAAAGTAATATATATTTTTTAAACTGAATTTCTTACGTTATTATGGAGCAAAATATTTACCTTTCAATAAACCATTTAGTGATAATCACATCAAACTGTCAGAGAGAATTTCTGATTGCTTAAAATATTTTCTAACGTTTGTTTCCTCTAAAATTAATCGAAGTTGACAGCACCAACATTTGTGAATTAATGCCATTTCCTACTTTTCTGAGTTACAAAGCTTTATACAGTGTATGGCAATGGAGTGAAGTTAGAACGAAGCCCAAGCGCCCTAAGGCCCTAAGAATCATAAAATCAGTTCGCTTTAATAACTGTGATCGCCTGGAGTAAACTTTTGTTCCCAGTTCACTTCCCCTGAGAATTACGACCTCTACCTTTAAACCACAAGAAAAAGAAAATAGCTTTAAACTTAACGCGTCATTTAAATTCAGTATTTGCTACTTACTAAGCTTCTACTTAACGCCTTCGCTAAATTAGCTTCCTATATCTAGCTCCAGATGGCGCTGCAGTGACTCGACCACCAGTAGCCCACATCAACAAGAGCACGCGAGAGGTTCTGTCATATCTTCCCAAGTCTCTCTGCGGGCAGCGTATTTATGACACAGAACGCTGTGGACCTCCTGTAGATTAGTTGACTGTCGACAATAACTCATCCTGGGATGCAGCCACTCGGTGCTGGAGTAGTTTATTAATTGTATTTTCTTTGTGACTGTGCTGTTGCTCTTTTCGGGTGAAACAAATCCATCAACTAACTGAATCAACAGTTGGAATCGACTTCATGATACAAAAGCGTTCATTTTTAACTTTGGAGATATGTGGATATACTAAATTTATATTATAATAGTTAAAGAGATTTAAATAATATTATCTGAAATTTAAACAATGACTTCCTAACTATTTAACGCTAACTCAAATGGTACTTTGAGTCATCTACATAATTTATAGATATGTGGCTTTTCATTTTTTGGTTTAGAAATATCGTGGTAAATTGATTTCACGGAATATTACTTTCGAATATGTAATACAGAATATATTGGCAACAAATATATGGGTAAGTCTGGATTTAATACGGAAAATTCTGCAAATTGATGATACGCAAAAATATATTTACAGCCTTAATCTAGTGTACCATACGATAAAAAAAAATATTGACTGCATTAAAATAAATATTTAAACTTATAGTTTGGAACAATGTTAAAATATCACCATTTTTTTAATATCTGGTGCTTTATGAAGTTTTTCACAGGAATTAATTATAATTTTTTTTTACAACTAGTCAACCGAGTCTAACGTTAGCAGCAATATTTCATTGACATTTTGAAATTTTTGGTCCATAGATATAAATTTAAACTTCTTTCTTTTTAGAAAGTTTTTGTTAAAAATAGAACTCACTATATAAGAGGAAATTTTACTAAAACTGTGTAGCATGTTTTTTTTGTCTGATCCTAATTCAGTCAATAAAGCAGAAAAAACAGATGATTTTCTAAAGTAAATTTGCAAATAATGTAACTAAATATCTAATTTTTTTTACATTACGTATTTTAACAGATCTAAGTAATTATACTTTATTAATAATTAATTTTACCTCTCGATAGCCTAGTTCCTTATATAAAATGCTGGTTCTTTATACTGGTTCCTTCCATGCATCTTTATCTTAAGGTGGAAAAAAAATAAAACGAATTTATAATGCTTGAAAATGATTTAGGTAAAAGCATGTAGTATAATTCTAATTATTTAAAGTTTGCCCAGAAAACAATTTTAGTAATATAACTTATCAAAAATAAAATAATATAATAAAAGAAAAAAAAAAAAAGCTTCGGAAAAAATTCTGTATTTTAATGGAAAGTAAAAGCTTCCAACCAATATTTCATACAGAAATAAATTTTTATCTTATAAAAGTCAGAATACCTGCAGTTTCCGATTCAAACAAAACGCGCGCTACATATCCAGCACACTCATTTTTTAATTCAAAATTTTCACTCCAGAAGCAGCAAAATTGCAACCCTGACTTGTTTTAAACTGTATACAGAAATAACTGCAACCGTAATCACGGAATTACATGTGGAAAGAAATATAAGCGAATTTGTAAGTATAACTGGTACCGAAAATTAGGATGTGTAATTTTGCTTAAAATTCTCTGCTTTTAAAAAGCTGAAGATGTTTAAAAAGAATTGAATTATTTCACCATTAAATAGAAGAATTCTGTGAATAAGTCATAAATCGTCTTCAGAAATGTACAACTGTTAGACAAGTAACCCTTTTCGCATAAAGTTTGTGCAATATTTGATAATAAATTATTACTTATTTTCTGTATTCTTCCGATAGGAATATTAGTGAAAGAAAAATATTTTATTGGAAAAATTCAAAATGTTAATATTATCTTCGTAGCTATACATAAGTGAAGTTATTGTGTTAAATTTAATGTTTCTGAAATTAGAAAACACTATTGGCTAATGTTATTGACTGAATCCTCTCAAATAATTCTTAGGCATTTTTATGCTTTCATATTTATCAACAGTAATATTGTGTTGAGTGAAATTTAATGAATGTTGAACTAGATAAATAAAACTAGAGAAGTTCGGTTATCTTGCAGTTAAAAACTTAATACATTTTCAAAGTTTATTAAATTTCAAAATATCCGAAGGAACACAAATTTGTGTTTAAAGTATAGTTTATTGAATGAAAGTAACTGATATCTATATAACAAGGATTTGAAAATCCTTTTTAATAATTATAGCACTGGAGTAATTACAAGGATTATCTGCTTAAAGCTGATAAATCTGCATGCTTTTTTCATTTTCGTATTAGTGAATCTGACATTACATCAGTAGTTTCTAATTACAAATATTATATCAACTCAATTAGAAGTGTGTATAATTAGAAATGACTGTGACAGAAAGTTTTTAATTAACTTATCGCAAATCTTAACGCCCACTTGTTGGAAAGGGACAGTAAAATAAATTTAGAGTGCTGATTCCATATTTTTAAATGGATTATGCTCTGTTGGATCCACAAGTGAAATGGATAACCCAAGCTAGAGTGATAAAGTGGCACTGTTTTAATTTATCAGAAACTAACATTAAAAGCAGTATAGTAATACTGAATTGATGCTCCAGAAATCCTGATCGAGCCGCTAGTGTCTGAAGATCAAAAGTCGTGGCTTTGATCAGTGAGTACCGCAAGAAGAGGTACCGGAGTGTGTGGTTTGAGGAGTATGGATCTGAGGCCAGTAAGGCAGAGTCAAAGCAACCTCTCCCTAATACCAATTCCCGTCACAACCACGCCAACAACAACGGTGCAGCCGCTTCTCTTCTGGAAAATCTCCATCTAGCAGCCAAAGAAGCTCTACAAGTCAGTCCAGATTCGTGCAAAACGGCTGCAATTCCGCTCGAGCTCAGCCGGCTAGAGTCCGGCGGGCTGCGTCACAGTTCCCGCAATCCTCCGGCTCAATCGTCCCGGACCAGCCTCCTTGGAAAGCCCATCAAGTCAGGCCGCCACAGAGGGCCTCGTTACAGGAAGTCCCAAGCCCTGGTTTACAACTTTCTGGAGAGGCCCCGGGGCTTCAAATCCGTGACCTACCACGTCCTACTGTGAGTAAATTTTTTTTCCTTTTCTTTTCTTCCATCTTGAGCATTTTGTTTATTTTGCAACAGTTGCCGCTGATTTACAACGCTGGCAAGGATGTAGCAGCTTCGCGTTCCAAAATAGAATGCGGAAAGAGAAGAGAGGGGTGGATGGAGGGTACCACGCCGAGGTGGCGGTGGGAATTTTGGGGAGTTTTTCGTTCTTGCCTGGGAAAGAAGGTAACTTCACTATTTGCGTGTAACAAGGGATCATCAGATGTCATCCTAAAAATGCCAGACATGTTCTCATTTGACGATTTTCTCAATGAAAGTTGGCATCTTTTCGGTTCGTTTTCCTTGATACATATACATGTTACCAGAGATAATTTTTCATCTTTAGCGTTTCGAAACAGTTCCGGCCGAAAAACCATAAAAATATCATTAAAAACATAACGATCTGCATAAAAGTATTCTATTTATTCTCTGTTTTTTTAACTGAATGCTTAGTGATTTACAAATACTGCATCACATAATTTCATGTGCTAGGGATAACAGGTATCGCGTTTTGTGTACCAGGTATTTTATAAGGCTCGATATTAAGTAAATTTAAGAAATATATATATTTATTCAGCACTGAAATCCTAAACAAAACGGCCACGCTTATTTGAAAAATCATACAATAAAGTATTGCATTAATTACTCAATACTGAAGAAGCTTTGCAGTACACAGTTTATTTTATTACATACGAATAAATGTTGGACAGTGTAATATCAGTGGTAAAGTGATATATGAAAATTTACGTTAGTTAGTTTGGAACTTTAGAGGATGAATAGCCAGTTTGTATTGAAGTATAATGAGTCATTAAAATAATTAAACTTTAATCATTATTGTCGGAATAATAACTTGCCACTGTTGTCTTAGAGACGCTGGGATAAGTTATGCGGAATTTTAGTTTTGTATAAAATGTAATCAAACTGACAGTATTTATGAATTTACTTTTTGTTCCCTTCGGCTATAAAATTCCTACAGAATAAAACAGTGAGCTATGTATTTCAAATACAAGGGCACCAAATTTACTGTGTCTCTAGCAAGCAGTGATAACGTCATTATCTGAGATGTTGCTATAATCTTACTAGTTGATTATTTTGTTTACCTAGGTACGATGTTTGCTTACATATGATTATTTTAATTCAGCACAGAACAGGTAAAGATACATTTATATATTTGCTTTTAAAGCATATGCAAATAAAAAATAAACATTAATTTCGTTGTTCACTTGAAACAGAAAGGGCATATGTGCTTAGGAAATTACGGAATTAATTTATAGTTTAATTTTACCTAAAAACTGAGGGTGTTCTTTATTTTGCTTAACAGAAACAAGTAGTTCTTAATTTTCTTTTTTTAATATTTGTTGAAGTAAAATACTAAACCATTTCAATATTCCAAATATTTTATTATTTGGATGGCTTGGGGTCTCAGTTAATCAAGGTAACTGGAATTGCTTTAATTATTTCTAATAATAAACGTTATGATGCCAGTGTGCATTCTTGCATCAAAGTACTATGTGTACGAAAGTTACAATTATAATAACTACTGCAAATTGTTTAATGTCTTGCCATTTGTTATCCAGGACAGAATATTACACAGTATTCATTGCAACAGACTTCAAATGCATATAGACTACAAATATAGACTACAAATAAATGCATATAGACTATAGGGCACTGTAGTAAAGTATCATACATTAGTAAGTCTTTATCGAAGTATTTTGGATTACGTTTAAATTTCAACCATTTTTTTTTTCAGAAATTAGGTACCGTATAGAATTTTAGTTTTTGTAAAGATATTTAATCCGTTCAGTTTACAATTTATTTATGTGAGAATTGATACAAGTTTCCAAAAAAGCTTGAATCCGCAGTTCATTTCATAATATCAACATTTAATATTATAAGGATAATTGGTACAGTTTTGTTATCAGAAGCGGATCCAAAAATGCATGGATGTATGAATGCATCCATGTATGTATGGATGTGTTCATGTATACATGTATATGTATTATGTACATGCATATGTATATGTACATACATGTATATATACATGTATATGTATATATACATGTATATGTACATACATATGTATTTTGTGTGTGTACACACATATATCCGCACATACATACATACATATGTACATACATATATACACTTATGAATCCGGTCCTGATAAAAGAAGAATACCCGATAAGTTTATATCCTAGTTAAGAATGGCTTTTTTCTGTTCATAGACTTCATACAGAAAAGTTTCTTAACAAGTTTTGTAACGTAAAATAGATGATTTTTGTGTTTGGGATATGAATAAAGATGCATTATTCGTTTGAAATAATCTTCTAAAAATTCATTTGAAATAGATCAGTTTGATTTATAATTTAGGAAAAACAATAATTTATGCTTTATTAAAAATAGCATAAATTTATATTTTAGTAAAAATAGTAATTAGTGAAATTATGATTTATGTTTATTTGAAGAACAACGGATTGAGAATGTTTGAACAACTAGGTTTTGACGCCAATCGTCTAATTCTTTTCTAAAATTTAAAATAAAACGACTAAATATTTCGAATTAGAACATGAAATATTTAATAATTATTCAGCAAGTTTCCTTTGTACTGATAATTTACTAAGTAATTTATTCCTCAACTTAAATTGCTTATTAATTTTTCTGTGATGAAGCAGATATTAGTTCTGTCTAATACTTGTTCATTTATGCATCGTTTATGAAATTAGGTAAATTGCTTACTTCAATAGTAATTTTAAAGCTATTTGTAACAACATTTAATTAAACAAGCTGTAGCTTTTCTCTGTGAAGAGACTTATTCTTATTAGTTTTAATAAGCATCTTAACTGCCTGGAAATGGTATATAACATTTTTATCATTTGTTGAAGCTTACACTTGAAAAACTAAATAATGTTTCCCCTTTAATCGAAATGAACAAGTTTACATGAAGTAGACATTTAGAAAGTCAATTCAATTACTGCTGATTTAAATATCATCTAGTCCAGCGATTCTCAACCGGTGGTACATGTACCACTGGTGGTAGGCAAAAGAAAAATAGGTGGCACGCAAAGGAACAAAGTATGTAAAAAGCATTTGTAATGATTAAATTAAAAAAAATCTCGTGAAGTAAAAGAACAATTGATAGAAAGTTTCTGTGATTGAATTCGTACCACAGATTTCCAAAATAACACACTTGTTAACTTTCGGCTGAACCGGAAAAAAGAATTTAAAGGCATTTCAAATAAAGCTATTTATCCTAAATGCGAAAATTAAATAAAGCTTAAATTTTTATTCCCTTTTTGCACAACCTATTTGTGCGAATAAGGATTTTCTTCCATGTTATATTTGAAGAAAAAATGCAAAACAAAATTAAAAGTGGATTTTAATTTACGGTTAAAGCTAAATGAAAAATAACCAAACATAAAGAAACTGATCTCTCTTAAACAGGCCCAAATTTTATAATAAATTTTAGAATTAAATATTATAACTTAAATTTTGATAACTAAAACGGCAACCAATTTTTAATCTAATATTTTTTAATGTGAGCATATTTAATATAAATAGCCAACAGGTTGTGCAAATAGCAATATATATATTTTAATATTTCTATTGAGAAATTGAAAAATAATCACCGTAAAATGTCGTAGTGGTACTAAAGTTTATCAATTTTTGTTTAGATGATTCGCGTCAGTTAAAAGGTTGAGAACCGCTGATCTAGTCAATTAAAAAACAATTGCCATCCTTGGAAAGTTAAATATGTACCGAGTAAAAAACAACAGTTCATCTCAAGTTAGATTTAATGTATTTATAAGCATAACCTAACTTCTGTTCCGAAGTATAAAACAGAGGAGAATTATTTGAATGATAATGATATATGTGATTGATGATTTGCTGCACTGCCATTGAAGCCCGGACACCTTGCTTGAATACAGAAAGCTGTTCATTCGAGTCTCTTTCAGTACAGCACGTGATGACATAAAGTAGGTACATAGTCGTAAATACTGGGGATTCAAAACATCCAATCATATTTTTTCAGCCACACTATTTAAGGTATAAGGAATTTTCAATAGCTAATTTTATAGACATTTTATTGGAGCCAAAAAATTTTAACTTTAGAATATGATATATTTTAATTTTAGATATGGATCTATGGATTGTTAGAAATTTTTACTAAATAGTCATAAATTTTATGATGCAGGGCATTTATCCATATATATTATATAAAGAAATCTTCTCGCATTAAAAGGAATTCGTTGGTAACGAAAAACTGCATCTTCTACTACGTAATAATGCTTAGAATTGCCTTTAATGTAAAGATTTTTAAAAATCGCCCCATTTCAATAATTAGGAACGAAAATCATTCACTAACTTCAAATTAAGTCATTAAATTTATGACGATTTATTGAACTAGGACTAAATTAGTGTAACTGTTTTTATTATTATTAAGCTGGTTTTAATAATCAGATATATTTGTCATAAAATTTCAAACTTTAACCGACTTTCAGTAAAAAATCAGCCCAAAATATGACCAATTACTTACAATTAAAGAGCATCATGAAGATTTTTAAAATTATGTGGTATATATTTGCATATTATTCTGATATAAATGTTTGCAAATTTCCTATTTTCTTCAAAATTAACTAACTTGTATGGTACGAGTTTCAGGATAACAAAAATAAAATTTTACTTATTGAATTTTTTTAGTTACCATTTTTTTTTCTGTTTTCGTTACATATCGGTTATACCGACTCACATTTTCTCGCCAGCAATCTTTCTAGCGCCAAGATCGTTTTGGCGACTAAACGTTTCTAGTCACGTTTCGGTAACCTTTATCTACTGTTGAGACGAATATTCTTTCCAGTAACTTGTAAATATTACTGAGCTTTCGCCACGTTGCCAGTATAATTACCTTCATTATTTTTTGCAGTTCTATTCCATTTTCAAGTACTACTGGTTTCCCAGAACAACGCTCGCTTGTATCGCGGCAAATGCCACCTACAATCAATTGCTTGGATTAAAGTCTTCCAGCATAGTTTTTATCTTTTGAACAGTTAGATGTAAAAGTAAAAAAAAACAATGTAAGTTCATAAGCTAATTCGTTTTCGTATTTTATCTTTTGTACAATATTTAATTTGTGTGAAATAAACGCGAATTTTCTCAGCTCTGTTACTGATATTTACCCTTGATGTTTATTTTTGATATTTTAGTTCTTGGCTGTAATAACTATCGCCAAGGAAATATGAGCTTTGATAGCAGATAAGTATTTTGTTTACATCTAAATTCGATATCGACGTACACGGATTAATATTTTTTGCAACAAAAGATGCATATTTCCCGTGGTGCACGTAACAATGAAAGTACATGCGGTATTTTTACGATCGAATTATTACAAAGTGATAACTCAATTACTCCAGATGCGTTCCCAGAAAAATGTATATAAATGCTGTTAACTCTATACAATGATTTTGCAATGGGTTTGGCGTTGCGCTATGGATATCGCACCGGTTACTGATATTTATTATTCTATGTAGTAAAGGGAACTAAATAACTTACGAATTATTATTGTTTAATTTGTTACATGGGATTACTCTATTTTAGTTCGACCAGTTTAACGTTCACCGCTGCAGTCAGAATAATGGCTTGTTTTTATCATGATACGGTTTCAAAGAAACTGACATGCATTATATCAAATGAATTTTTTTGTCAAATAAAATCAATCTGGCAATACTATTAAAACGATATATTTCTTGCTTATCTTGTGATATTCTTTAAACATAAGAATGGGTTATGTATTAGAATTCACCGTTCGATCAGATAGATATCATATTCGCATAGGCAGTATATTATGTTAATTTGGTATAGCATAATTTGAGGGTTTTGATGCAGTTTTAATACTTATAGTAAAAGTGCACAGTTTAAGACAAAAGAAGATGCCGATAGTCATTTTATAAAAGCTTCGAAGAAAATAAATGTATATAATTAGAGAAAATTAGGCGTACATGGAATCGCAGGTCTTGTTCGGGAAGAAAAAGAAAAGTTTGCAAAAACTGCATTGGCGACCTATGCTACACTAGGACGAAGGAGAAAATAAAATTTGGAGCCTTTTTTCATTAGGGGACAGCATGCTGCAGATAATTATATACAGAGATACATATACGCGCCAACGTTGCCTATTATTGGCATCATTAAATTAAATGCATCGTTCTTCTTATTTCTTATAACGGTGTTCTTGTTTTCAAAATAAGTGTTTTTAATAAAGCGTTTTTAAAGTTTCTCTCAGTCAGTTTCGTTGTTTGTTTGTAATCTAACCTAAGAGATGCATTTATTATATTTAGAACAATTTTGCTTGCTCGAAATGAGCTGATCATAAAGTACGTTTTTTCCTGACGTATAAAAATGGCGCATATCTTGGTTTCCAGTTTTCCTACGGAAAGCTCTTTGGTGCGTGTTATTTGTTCTGTAGTGCAAAAGAGCCCATTTTTGCCTAACAAGTGCTCAATTAACAATAAACAAATGCAAGGTTAAAATATGAGTAATCTAGTGCTATATAAATTGCGGAAATATATGACTATTTTTCATTCGATATATTTTGTGTGAAGTACATAATTATTAAGTTTTCAAAACTAGGTTTATTAGGGTGGGCCAAAGGAACACTTTTTTCTATTGCTATACCTCGGAAAAAGTGCCCATTGCTTAGCTATGCAAAATGAAATAAAATGTTTTCATGTAAAAATATAGCTTCCATTCGCGCATGGCACTCAGTTTTGAAAAATGTCTAAATTTTGCTGTTTTTCGTCAGTTTTTTATAATTAATAAATTCATTACTAGCGAAATGCAGTTGTTCCTAATATAAATTTGGGGGTATGAGGAGCACAAATGTTAAAGACCTGGAATATTTATTATTTGCGCAAAAGCTAAAAAAGCACAACTTTTTGTAAAAATAGCAGTAGTTTCCAATTTCTGATAATTTTACTTTTTCATTTTTCGTATATAAACGGCAAAAATATTTATCATTTTTGTAATTTTGTTACCCAAAAGAGCCTTAAAGTTTTTTTCTAAAATTCTGCCATAATGCATCTTGATGGGAGGATCATTCTAATCAAATCATCTCTTGCCTCAGCGCCGTACGCCTCTTAAGAAGCTCCGTTCACAAGTTTGTCATACTGTTTTAGAGCATTGGTGTGATAAGGAAAGCTTTAGAAATCCAGTTGAAGCGATGTCTCGCTCTTTAATAGATTTTTGATGTCCTCATCTGTAATATTCCTTAATAGTGGAGGAGCAGAGATATTGCAACTGTTCCATAAAGTCACGTTGCCTCGAAGTTGAGTTTTGGCATGGTAAAGTTTCGAATAGCCTTCTGAGTCTATCTTCTTTAGAATGTGATCGAGCGTTCAACAATCTGCTCACCCTAGTTCTCTGATTAGTCTTCTTTCATCCACAATCATTGCAAAGATCAAATTTTCGCGATGGGCAAAGAATGAATCCCAGTGAGAGAAAAAAATGAATTCCGTTGAATAACTAGGTTGATGACTTGCAACCAATTTGGCGTTAAATATCGTGACGTTGTGATGATTTAAAAAAACCATTATTGGATCGTGTGTGAAATTTGAGCTAATTTTTATTTTGAAACCGAGAAGCATATAGCAATTCAAAATAAAATATATCAAATACCTAGTTTTGATTTAATGACTTCTTGCGAGTGAAAGTAGTCCAAGATCATGAGCTTCTAAATCTTCTAAAATTGTATATGACAGCAGAAATTTCAAGTAAATAAAATTGGCCCTTGCTCAACATTTTTCTGCCAACTTTGAGGAATGAAGAATTCAAGTTAAACGCGTGCAAGTGGAAGTTTTTCATAACCAGTGAGTTTATTTCCGATCGGTCCAACAAAGGATTTGGACTCTGTGCTTACGTCATCCTAGCGATGAAATAGGTGACGGAATTGCATTTCATTAAAGTGTAGGAGGTATATAGCCCACTATAGTGGTCTTCCAACCAGACCAGCAGTTCGATCAGGTGGATAACATCATTTTCAAACTAGGATCAATTACAATTCCATTGTTGGCTGTCACATTAAATTCTTCAAGAGAAATCTTATGTGTAGTCAAATGTGATATTATGGTAGATATTATTTAGCAAGTCGTGTAAGAAATAGAAATATGGCCGATGTATTTTGATTCCGGTTCTTGTATGAGGAAATAATGGTCTTTTTTTAGTTCTTCGAAAACTCTTTGAATTAATTTTTTTAACTATAATGAGTTTTTCCTCTTTATTTTTGTCAACAATGTGAGAATTATCTGAATCATTGTCAGTCACTGTTTTAAAAGGTTTGCAGTAAAAATTACGATGTATTGCTATTTTTACCCAAAACTGCGTTTTTGGAGTTTGTGCGCGGAAGATAAATAATTTAAGATTACAGATTTTAAATCATTTTCGTGTTCCTCATGTCCAAGAATTTACATTAAGACCTTTAAAATCTAGATAGCAATTCTTTTATTGACAAAAAGCATCAACATTTCGCCTCTTTTCAGAATTCTGAGTCCAATCCCAGAACGGAAGATTGAATTTTATTTGAAGATTTTTTTTTCATTTTGCATAGCTAGGTGTTAGGCAATGTTTCTGGGGTATAGCGGTAGAAAAATAAGAAAAAAGTGTTTTTTTCGGCCTTCTCTAGTGATGTTGCATTTTTTTTGGATGGCTTAAGTATGGAGTATTTATGCAAAATGACAAAATGTTTCTACCTTTGCAGTTTTCTAATACGAGAAATCTGTCATTCTCACCAAGATCGGCATGCATGATCATACTTGTTTCCATATTTGTCCTATAGAAATCCATTTTGTATTAAACTATGAGCAGAAGCGCAATCTTAGGGGTTGTCGAATTCTTTACATTTATTATTAAAACAAAAAATGGCGCTTTATGGCTTGCATATATTCTTGCTCAGAGGGTCATGAAAAAGATGGGTGAAAATTTTAAAAATGATTAAAGCAATAATTACTGCTGATATTTTTTTATTGCTATCTCATTAATATTATTTCTGATGTATTTTCATTGGCATGTTACGAAATTCAAATTTTTCTTTCTGTTTGGACGGTATAAGCTTTCCTTTTCATCGAGAAGTTGGCAAAGCAAAATCATTCACATTTAAGACTGCCACCATTATTGCATCAGTTAAGTTTATTCATATTCCATTTCTTTCATTTATATCAACTAAAATAACACGCCAATGAACAGATGTTGAGGTTACTAAAGTAATAATAATCAGCGTAAATTTACAGGGCTAGTTGCTCAATTTATCTTTAGTAATTCCCATCCTTCCCCTACAAAATTTTACTATTAATTATAATTTCATATGTCATTTAGCGGAACTTATTAACATAATATAATTAATCTTCCCTCCCTTCTTCTAAAAAACCACAGTTTTTCCGTTATTAAAAAATCTCGATAATGTAAAATGTTAAAGTCTGCTTAGTGTTTCATTAATGTGGTAGCTATAACTTTTAAACATGTCTTAAAAATATTTCAGATTTTAAAACAAATTCCAATACTTTCTGATTATCTGCAGCTCCAACCGAAAAGATTCAAAAAATCATTCAGGAGAAAAAGTAATATGTAATCAAAATAGTTATGTGGCAGCCCAAGGATATAGCCTGAAAGTATTTATGTAGCAACCCAAATATGCGCGTATCCCATCTCTGTTTTAATTCACCGTAGTGTACAAAGCGGAAAGTTGTACGCGGCAGTGTTTGTGCAACTCTCTGATCGCTCCGTGTACATGGGAGAAAACGACAGAGCAAAACAAGATTTCTTGAAAAAGGGTAAATGTTTAATTATTGAAGTTTCTTGTTTTCCATTGATTTTATTTATTGATTGCTTTTGTATGGAAATCTTGCCACCTATATGAAAATGATTTTTGCCTTTCGTCTATAGATGTAGCAAAAGATTTGTTACTAACGAGTCCGCGAATGCTCTCCAAAGTCGCCAACGAGTTCGCGACTTTCCTATGCGAGACATGGATAATCAGAAAGTACCCATATTTCTAGTTGAAAATGTGTTGCAAAAACTTTGTATCCAATAAATAATATATATGAATTTATATATTATTTATTGGAATGGTAAAGCAAAG